CAATACAATGGAACGCTCCCAGGGCCCCTGCCCCACGCGTGCCTCTACAGCTTTCCTAACTCGGGGAGCCCAGTGTGCGTCACACAGCACGGGACGTGGGGAGCCACACCACACGCAGCAGCACATGCGTGTGCAGGGCCCGGACGTGCTGCGGTGGCTTTGCTGCCTGAGTTCAGGCGATACTTCAGGATTTCCCAACACGGTCTGTGTCAAACAGAAAGGGACTTTCTTTCTGGTCCGAGTCAGGGGGAGCGGCGAGCCTCGACCTGCCCCAGCCCCGGGCACCTGGCTTTACCGGCAGGTTGTACAAGGAGCAGTAGGTTTCACCCCATAGCCGGTGTGTTAGTTTATATAATATTTCAGAGCAATAAAGAGCAAAATACTCTGGTTTTACCTTAAGTAACAAGAACCCTATCGTTTCAAAATAAAAACATTTTCAAATATCGAACGAACAACTTATGATCCGTCCACATTGTTTGAAAGTTGCAAATCACTGTTTTCCAAGTAAAACGCCAGGCCCACCCCACCTCTGGGTGGGAATCGGGAATCGAGGCTCGCAGCCAGCACTGCGTAACGCAGGCTTTTTAATGCTCTTTTTAGTCTCAGCTGAGCTAAAACGGAAGCTGAATGGGAGCGAACCAGGTGGACAGTGGGGGCCACTCTGGTCAGTAACCGCCTCTGAACTTGAAAAACACAGGAGTTATCTTCCCTGGGAAGAACAAGACGTAGCTTTGAGCCACACTTGTGTTTCCTGGTTTTTCCGGGCAATGGTGCCCTCGAGGAAGACATCTGGGAGCCAATCCCGGCTGCCTGGCTGCGCCCCTGGCAGGGGAGGGGCCGCGCTGATGTCAACAGCCGCTGAGCTTACCACAGAGTTTCAGGTGAGGAAATTGCTGGAAGGTGACAACCAGTGTGGGCTCATTTTCCTTTTCCTTCTTGCAAATTCGCTTTCTGTTGCTGGTGAGAAGGTTCCAGACGATGCTGGCCGCTCTGGACCATGTTAACTTCGCCTGTCTCCCTGCTCCTGACATCCATTGGGCTTTTCGGGAAGCCCTGTTCGCTTTTCCACAAAAATCTATTCCACGTCTTAATCTGTGGAGAATGCTTAGGAAATACAGGTTTCCACAACCCGATTGAATTTGCCTAAAAACTTCCTCTTTGATATTTATAAAAAGAGGGTCAGTGCACACTCACACAGCCCTCCCAGTTCCCGCAGGGAAAGTGGGCAGCTGAGCCTGCCGGCACCCATGCAGTGGAGGCCCCGCCTGACCTCTCGCTCCGTGTGGGCGCCTGGCAAAGCCAGCCCTGCCTCCTCCTCACTGCCGCCCGGTGCTTCTCACCAGACGTTTCTGTCTCACTGACAGAAATGCATTTTGATCTCAACTGTGAAAACTTGCAGGATCCACTGAAGAGTTTATGAAAGTGTAAAGATATCAAGATCTTATCATGTGCCGGATTAATGGGCTTAAAAGCTGACAATTAGAATGTGGTCACTTATTACAAAGCAGAGGAGGCACATCTTGAAGGACACACCCAACCGATACTCCTGGGCCGGAGGCTCACCTGGCACATGACTCACCCTAACCCGCCCCGCCCCCCAGATGCCTGCAGTCCAGATGGACCGGGAAGAGCTGGAGCACAGGTTCCCCGGAACCTGCCAAACTGGACTGAAACCCTACCGGGTGCGGCTCCAAAGGGCACTAGCTGGTCCCATCCCAGGATGGGCACAGGCAAAGGGGACGAGAGGGGCCTTTTCAGGCAGAAACTGCCAGAGGCCGCTAACTCCTGTATTAATTAGGAGAAATTCAATTTGAAAGACCCCTCCCTGCCCCCAGCAGAGGTTTCTGTATGAGGCTCGCTGTGTCAGCTCGTTGTCAGCCATCCCTGGGCAAGCCCGCCCCTGAGATCAAAGGGCCCCAGTGCAGCCACGTGCGTTTCTGTGGGGACGCTGGCACCACCACAGTGAACGCCCTCGGGCCCCTTGTTGAGTGCGGCTCTTACAGTGACTCCCAGCTCAGGACGGCGATTGTTCTGAATAGGCACCCAGCTCTACACCCTCCCATCACAATCCCGACAAACGGGCGGGGGTCCCCTGCGGGATCCGCGGGAACCCCCACAGGACGGGCTTGGCTCTGCCCTCAGCTGCAAGCAGGTCTGGGGTCACTTTCATTCTGACATGGCCTGGCCACCCACGTAGCCCATCCAGAGCCATCGCCGGGCCCTTCAAAACCCATCTTGCCAGAGCCGTGGCCCAGAAAGCTCAGCACGTGGCCAGGACCCCTCGCTCTGTCCAGTGGCCCCCATGGAGGGGTGACCTGGAGGAAGACGGGCCAGTACCCTTTAGCCTCTGTGAAAGCTCAATTCCACTTCACGCCCACGCACACCATGTGTCCCTGTGTGGCTCGTCGGTCCCCGTGCAGGACTGGACCGGGCATGCACCTGGGGCCACGACGGGTGACCGGCCCGCCCACGCCCGAAACCCACAGAACTGAGTGGTGGTGGCCTCTGATGCCCAAGCCACACTAAGGCCGGGCTCAGCACCCCCAGTCCTCTCAGACCGGTGTTTCACTTCATAAAATTGCTGCAGAGACCAGCATTGTGACGACAGTAAGTTCCCGAGCTGCAGAGGCAGAAGGTGGTTGCTGTGGCAGGAAGAGCCTCCCTTCCCAAAGCCCAGTGCCCTGTCTGGGGGTCCTTCTCTGTCCCACAGGTGCCGTGTAGACTTAGGGGTTGGGGCCTTCCACCTGCATTGCTTCTCTCCGAGTCGGCGACGGGGCCTCATGACTCTGGCCTTCGTACTCACGACGTGAGAAGCAGCTTTCGCCCAACATGGGGACAGAGTGAATGGGGGCCACGCACCCTCCTGCCCACGAGTAAAGCCTTGCTCCGCTCCAGATCCCTTGGCCAAGCGCCCCTCAGCCATGCCTGCTTCTCTTCTCCAGAGGCTCCTCGGACAAAAGAGGCCCACGTAGGGCCCCGCGGAGGTTACAGCTCTGACAAACATTCAACTGAAGAGGAAGCGCTTCGGACTCCATTCACTTAGAAGTGGGAATGGCCACGCCAGGAGAGACAGCTGGTGCTGACACGCACAGCTGGGCCCGTGTCGACTCCGCCCCTGCCCGCTGCCCGACTGGGGCAAGCGTCCTGCATGGTATCTCGCTTCATCTCCGTGCGGTGGGCACAGCCACATGACCCCCACCCACAACCCTGCTCACAGAGGGAGACAGGGCAGCCTAGAGGTGTCTCGCTGTCCTGCGGCACTGAAGCAAGCAGTAAGAAAACACTTGTTTGGCTTTCATTTTCTAGTTCCAGGAACAGCTTCCACACAGCTGAGGAGCAGGACAAGAAAGCAGCAGGACGGCCATGCCTGCAGCCACACCAGATAGCCCACAGAGCAGGGGACAGTGGGGCGCGGCCTCAGGCAGGCCCCCGGTGCCTGGTCCTCCCCAAGCTGCTGACTTGGGAGAGTGAGGGACACGGACACAGGCAGCCCAGCCCCTCCTGGCCGTGTGCCAGCCGTTATCCAGGGCTACATCTGCACAAGATCACTGCCTTCTCACTCTGCCCTCCCCCAAAGCCAAAGGTGGACGGACGGGACTAGGAGCACCAGACATCTGTATGAATTCCTGGAAGCACTTTAGTTCCTTGAACTTTATCAGAATCCTCAGGCTGTTCTGTAGGCTGTGCTTTGATAGAAGTCAAGATTGAGGGACAGAGGCCAGAGGCGCTTCCTGGGCAGTGAGGAGGCCTGAGGTCCCTGCCCAGCCCTAGAAATGGTGAGATGGAGCTGCAGTGAGAAGAGAAGGTGCTACAGCCCCCGGACCTCCGAGACCACGGGGGAGCGGCAGGGGTCACGGATCCCACCCCGGCTCACATGCCTGCAGCTACTGGCGCTCGAGGGCACACCCTGGCCAGAGGGGGCGGAGCCAGGCCCCTGCGGGTCTCGGGTCTTGCACCGTCTTTAGGGGCCATGCAGATGTCAGGCGACACCTCCCACAGCGTGTGGGACGGTTCCTAATGAAAGTCGTCAGGTTAGTGGATGGCACCCATTGACGCAGAGGCTGCGCCGTGTTCAGCTCCCTGCTCTGGCTACTTGATAAACAATAAGAAATACACACCAACCTTCAAGTCAAAGGAACTTATTTCTGTCCAAAAACAGAGTCACAAATCAGAATACAACAATTAACTTAAAAATTCACTCTACTGAGAACACACGTGTTTTGCATTTCTCCCAACAAAAAAAAATACCAGATCTTAAAAGTGGGGCCGACGGCACAGGCACCCTGACACCTTCGGGGGGCTCAGGTGGGCACACACAGAAAACCCCAGGGCAAGGCGCCTTGCTGTGCGCTCAGGGGCTCGGCCTCTGGCAGTTGACACAGCGTGGGGCCATAAGCGGGCTTTCCTTCACCAGGACACCAGAGCAAACATCTTTTTCCTGCTCACCAAGCTATGCTGAAGTGTCAAAGGTGTTATGAAGTCGCCAGTAAATATTTGAGAGCTGGCACATAAAACATAAAGTTAAGGCCGGACGAAACCCAGCCCGCAGAAGCGGCTGCCCACAGGCTGCCCTTCGCACTCTCGGTCAAGGCGGAGGCCCGGCAGCTGTTTCCAACATGTGTCTTTCGGTAAAACACAAGCTGCAGAGGGCACAACCCCTGAGGACCTCATGTCCTCCCTGCCTGTGACCCCACACCACCCAGGACGCAACTGTCTAAGGATCTGGGCCCTACAGGCCCGCTACAGCCTCTAGAACATTCCCCCTAAACACTGGTCTCAGCTGCTTCCCCACGAAAAGGAGCTCTGAACCCGAGCTGCTGCGTTTTCACCGGCACCCTTTCAAATGGTCTCAGTAGCGCCCGAGCACCTGGGTCTCACACCACCATGGGAAGGCGCCATGCAGCCCGCCCCTCACACGCACTCAGGAGGGCGCGATCCAGGGATGAGGGACAAGGGACTACAGGGCGGATGCAGCACGGCCAGGACACCGGCGGCTTTACCTGGAAATCTCGGACACAAAGGGCTGCAGCTCCTGCGGCTCGTAGGCGCGTGCGAAGGCCCAGCACACATAGCAGGCGGCGTCTCTGACGTTGGCGCCCACGCTGCAGGCGCCCCGTTTCTCCTCATAGGTCAGTGCCTTCAGGATCACGGCCACAACTAGGTAAAGGAGGACAGATCGTGAGGACGGGCCATGGTGTCAGCTGTGCTTCTGAAAAACAGGTCTGCGGCCGCGACACGGTGCTCCGCACCTCAGCACCACATGGCGGGCTGCCCGTCCTGCGTCCAGCCCGGTCCTTCCAGAAAAGTGAGGGCCTTGTCAGAAACGACACATCTGAAGGGAAACACAAGTACCCCAGCTCCGATCATGGGCAAATGCTTTCTAAAGTGGCCCAAAGCTTACACCAAGAAATCAAAGTCCCTACAAATCGGCAAGCAAATGTCATCAGGGCCACCGGAGGGTTGCTGCTGAGCCTGAGACGCTGGCGCACAGACCCCGCCAGGCAGCGAGGAAGGGGCTACGGGAACCAGCAACGTCGCCGGGGACATCAGCCCCTAAAGTCTTGTTGGCAAGGGGACCGTAAAAGATGGAATGGCTTCCAATTCAGGCCCAGAGCAGGTACCTGATGAGTGACTGGGCGAGAGAACTCCAATCACACAGCTGTCTCAGCTCTGCTCGGAGGGCGCCGGTCCCCTTGGGGAGCTCAGAACTGAGAACAAAAGTGGTGAAGTAAATCAAGCCCATGGTTACTTTAGGGCTTCTGTGCTAACTTCAGGAGTAACCCATATACGGGGGGTGCCAAAAAAATGTATACACGTGACTTGTATTATCTTTTGTTATCGGAATATATTATGACAATTTTAATACAGTTTCTTCCTTTCTTAAAATGTGTACACATTTTTGGGCGCACCCTCTGTATGTTTAATTATCTAAAATATTGAATATTTACAATAATTTGAAATACATAACAGATTATCCTGGTTCCACTTGAAAATGTCTGAGTAATTTAATATTACATAAGTGATTTCTGATACAAAGAGAATTTTAAGACATGGTGAGAGTACTAGAATGTTTAAAAAAGCTAAAATCTTACCGTTTTATGTTAAATTTATCAGATTTGTCTATTTCAAGTACTTGGGAAGATCTGGTAACTACAGACATGTAAATTACTTAAAAATATACTATATTACATTTACACATATTGTTTTAAAAGTATAAGAGAATTTAATTGATTTTATAAATGAACCAAAGAATATTTAAAGCTTCTTAAAATAATAATAGGGGCCGGCCGAGTGGCTCAGTTGGTTAAGAGCTCACTCAAGAGCTTGAGCTCTGAGCAACAGCGGTTCGATTCCCGACCCGAGCTGAGTTGCCGCTGAGCTGCCAACAGGTGGCAGGATGGCTCAGCTTAAAATAATAATAATAATAATAATAATAGGAAAAAAGCTTTATAAAAATTTTAATTTGAAATTCAAAGCTAGAACTCTAATTTTTTAAGCAGTCACACTGATTAGAACTTTCAGAAGTCCCCGCTGTGGACCCACCACAGAACGAAGCCGCCATGAAGCACCGGGCGGCTCGTTCTGACACTTAGAGAAGCGTGGGGGGCGAGAAGCGTGAACGCCTGCTCTCGAGAGATGGGGTGACTGTGTGCCCAGGCGCTACTGCCTTGGGGCCGCCTGCCTCTGCGGATCGACCTCTGAGCGTGAGGCCGCGTGACAGGCAGTGGCAGGGAGGACACGGCCCACACCCCCTCGGGACGGTCAGCCAAGAGAGTCCTTCCACTGGAGCACAAGGCCAGCGTCACACCCCAGCCACACGGCGCTGACAGGATGAGGGATTTCAGGGTACGAGGGGGATGTGTGGCGTCCACATTGGGCCACAGACGCCCAGCATGCGAGGCTCACACACATGAAGGTCGGCCCACCCAAGACAGTGAAGGAGATCCACCACTGAACAAGGAAAACAAAGAATGCAGCTCAAAGCCAGTGGCGAGAGACACGGGGCCTAAGAGGCACCACATAACCAGCCGTGGGCAGGACCGCAGCCGCCCCTCGCGTGCACGTCTGTGCCGGCCGCCCAGGCCCCCCACCCACCCTCCGTGCACTTTTCTTCAGCGACACTAACACTGATCTGCAGACAGTGAGCGGAGGCACTCCAGGGAGAAATGTCGGAAAAAGAAAGTATCGATTCTTTGCATTGTAACTATCATCACATAAATGATCTTTCAGGAAAACGGACCCAGAAATACAGTGAGTCCCGACTTAAGAACATTCGAGTTGCAAACTTTCACAGATACGAATGGACCTCGCATTACGAACATTCATAGATGCGAACAAACTGCGGAAGTAGCTCGTGTGTCTGCTCTTGTCAGCTCACTCCACGCAATCCCCTATATGCCAGTTGTACTGTACTGTACCACCGTTTTAAGGTAACTGTAAAAGTAAAATTAGTTTATTTACAGTATTTGTGTGTGTGTGTGTTTAGTCTTTTTATGCTTTACATTGTATACTTGTGTCAAAGGTGTATAAGACTCAGTTTGTCGGACTTATGAATGAATCCGACTTATGAACCTTCTCCCGGAATGGAGCTCGTTTGTAAGTCGAGGACTTACTGTCGTCCTAGGCCGAACGCCATAAGAAACAGCTGTACAACTTTGAATATTCATACAAATTTCTCTTCTGCCTTTTTGTATCTAAGGATATTTGATTCTATATAAATGGCAACAAAAAGGAGATTTGACTGTACAGTTTCTTTTATACACATACAAAAATTATTTTTAAAAGGTTATAAAATGTTCAAGTAAATCCACCTAAAATTCTGTAAAATAAACGTACTCCTAAATAAAAAGCTTGAAGGTCACATTATTGATTATACGTGCCAGGCGGGAGTGAGGAGCTATTTCCTTGTGGGGCACCTGCACTAAAGGCCTGACAACGACAGGATGGCCAGGGCGGCTGCACCGTGGACACTGAAGGCACCAGGGCCTGGAGCTGGCCTCACCCACAGCTGCGCACGAAGGACCTCAGTACGGAGCCCACCCTCTTGCCAAGTCCTCATTTCCTCAACCCACAACAGCAGGTACCCCATTTGGGATGTGCCAGAGGCACCTCAAATTCCCCAGCGTCTGACACTGAGCACATCCCCCGATATCCCACCTCAGCCGGAGGCCACGCCATCCTCTGGTACATCCGCAGCTCAGGGTGCGGGGTTCGTCCCAGGGCCGCCCCTCCTGGTTCCGTGTCCCCCACGGCAGCAACGCCACTGTGAGGACACATCATACCTCCCCCAGCTCCTCCCACCGGGACCTCCTCACTGCTGGACGAGTGCTCAGCCTCCAGGCCACCCAGCGACTCACTTCCCAGCACAGCAGGCTGCACGAGCTGGCTCCCTTGTCCTCCTCTCACAAGGCCCCCAGGGCCCCACGCTAATTCCCCACCGGCCTCACGTGTCTCTCGGCCACAGCCAGGCACGCGCTGCCTCTCGCACCTGCACAGCACCCCAGAGCCTTCTCCACCTGGCGTGACACCCGAGGGGCGCCGGGAAACCTCTGCTGAGCGAGAGCCACGGGAGCTGACGAGGGTGGGTCGGCCTCCATCGGTCCGCACACCACACTCGGCTCCGTCCGCTGAAGGAATGCCCATCAGTCCCTGTGAGTGGCTCACGCGCACGAGGAGGCAGACTGCTGCGGTCCAGCAGGAGGGCACTGCCACAGCCGCAGCAGGCACAGGGGCACACCGAAGGCGTGACTTTTCAGTCACTTTCGCTACTTGAACAACACCAAATCTGTGATGCTTCAACTTGGTCTTCGGTTGCTTTACCCGGGAAAATCCTAGCTGACCTGAATTTCTCCTAGTGTTCTGGTGCTAACAGCACAGCCCATTCGCGGCCCAACCGATGTCAAAACTAATGGGCTGTGGCACCTCTAGGAGAAGGGCGTCGCGGAAACTCATGTCAGGGCCACACACATCCCCTCAGACCGTCACTCAACACAGCCGGGCAGGCAGTCCTAGGAGAGACCAGTCAGCAATTCTGTAGCCTGAGGGGGATCTGGATGCTGCCTGCTGAGTCCCAATTTATTGGTCCACTGGACAAAATCAATTTCTAAACAGACAACTATGAATGACAGCAGTCAGTACCTCGCTGTCTGCTTCAGGCAGACATCTCTTACACTCAGAAACACTCGGTGCCACCTGGGAGAAGCCCACCTCCATGTGGGCACGGCCCCCACCCCTGACCTGCTCGTCCCTGAGGTCATCGAGCTGCTCGGGGAGCCACTCCCTTCTCGGCCCCAGAGCCTGAGCCCTGGTCAGGAGCCCAGTGTCTGTTCCCAGTTTCCTGAAGCATCATTTCTGTTAGCCAGAAAGGCCGCTCAGCTATGAGGAAAAGGACAAAAACTGCTGACCGGCGTCCCACTAATGGCCACTGCCTCGGCACACACAGAGGCCTTCGCACAGCTTGACTGGCGTTTATTTGTGGTAAAATGGACAGCCTCGTAGGTCCAGCCACACGTCCACCTGGCCCACTTCTGTATGTCAAGGCGTGAGAATAGTCAGCTGTGAGGGCCTGGGAGCCGCAAGCAGGCGCCCGCGCTCCACCCTGAGAGACGCAGCTGTGGGGACACAGCTGTGCCTTCTGACTTCGTCCAGGCACCCGCATGGGCCCATGTGCTGAGTCCTCAGGTAGCCGCCCGGCCCGCTGACAACGTGAAGGTGCTGGGTCAGAGGAACAGAGGCCCAAGCCCGCCCGCCCACGTGACTGTGCTGCCACAGCTGCCTGCACAGCCCGCCTGCCTGCGTTCCACCCGCGTCCCCGGCACAGCCTGCAACGTCCTTATCCTGTCACCCTCCTGCTCAGGAACCTCGGATGGCCCCTCCATAACACCTGCAACAAACATCAGTGCTGACACTCAAGTGCAGTTGAAGAAGTGACCGTCGGCAACCTCCCACGGCCACAGTGCTGGACGGATCCGACAGAGAGAAAGCAAGCAGTCCCCAGAGTGCGAAGGTGGGAACGCACCCCTCATAGGTCACTGACAAGGAACTGGGTTTGCAGAAAGTAAAACAGCACAGGAGGGAAAACTAGATGACCGATTTCTGTAACAAGAGAATGAGAAAATGAGCCTATCGGCTCCCATCCCAAGAGGACAGTAAGAGCT